AGAAAGGGAAAAGAGTACAGTTTATTATACTGTAAAAAACTTAAGAACATTCTTCATAATTTCTGAGTTATGAGCCTTTAAGTAAAAAGTGATGCGATTTCGGCAACCTTACCCTATATTTAGGAATTTTCAAAACAATAAAATTTCTATTCTCATCTGTGTGTTTTCAGAGATATTTTATTAAGAATTTATTTTGACTCGCAATTTATGAAACGCTCATTTGTTCCTTATATTGTTTCTTCGATTTGCTAAAATCACTTATTCACGTCGACATGCAACGTGAGCCCTTCGATGTTGCTTTATTGGTCTAGTTCGATACGCGCGGGTGGGTGGTTCTACCACGATAGATCAGAGTGGAGAACATGGATTCTCTTTGATGTCGCCCGTGATTGGTAGTTGCTTGCATCGTTGCTTATGTAAAGCTTGTTAACACTATCTTACCTAACCAAAATACCAGAACTGGATACTGTCGATTACACGAAAACAATTACGGCGAAAACCAAAAAGAATATTTTATGTAACCACTGTAGACAAATGGAGGGGAGGGAAGGAAACGTGAAAATAGTAGAATATGTAGAATTTAAAAAAATGTACACTTACTAAGATAAATTTTTTCGATTAAAAAAAATTTGTTTCAATCAAAGAAATTTGTGTATTACTATTATATATAATTAAAGAAAAATTTCTTTGAGTTGAACGTCATTTCTTAAAATCAAATAAATTTTTCTTAAATCAAAATAAATTTTTATTTTCTTCAAAGATATTTTCGCTTCAACTTAAAAAAATCAACGAAAGATTTCTTTAATTTAAACATAACTTTTCTCTGAGTGTATATACATCATTTGTCTTTGTATGACACGAATATTCCATTTTATTATCTTATAATAAAATATCTTATTGTATAATAAACATTCATTTTAATTACTTAGAATATCGCCTTTTTTCGTCAAGTTTTAAGCACCCCTCAACGTTAAATCGCAATCGTGGATGAAAGCGTTCACATTCGTTAAAACAAAATTTGTTAGTGCGACGGCTTTATGCGTTGAAAAAGGCGTCCGGTGCAGAGTATGTCGTGTCACTGTTTATCCGAGGCAGCAAGCCACGACGTGCAAAATCTACGGCAACACCGTCAAATCCCATCACGGACGAGACTGCGAATTTCAGGGAGGCCGTCGGCCTCCCGTCGTCGTTGTCGCCGTTGTCGCCGCGACTATACACTCTATTTACCTCCGGGACACGTCAACCTGCGATTATCTTCTCGCGGTGCGTTCCTGTCGCGGTCGCGGCGGTCCCTCAAAGCGCGTATCGGACATTCATGCGTCCGTCCGTACGCACCCGAGTCTGGTTGCACGCAATATGCGATCGGGAGGGAACATGAAGATGCGTCGAACGTACGTGACGGCCACCTGTGCAACGGGGGGAAACGCTTGTATATACGTTGTATATCGATGAACATGCGTTCGCGGATCGACTGGGAATCTCGAATTCCATTTACATTCTTAATGTCAAGGCAACTAAAAAAAAATCATCCAACTGGGAACGTCGTTTCCGAATGAGGCCGAATTTGACAGAGCGATGAAACCGACAGAAATAATGTTTACTCAACGGGACGAGATTGACTACTGCCGCTGAATACCGAGCGTTTTTACGAGTAAAATTTGCAAATTCTGTTAGAGTAGCGCGAATAAACGATAGCAGCCATTGTAGGATTACGTCGATAGGATACGTCATGTTTATCCAATGGAATCAGCTCCGGATTGTCACTCTCGAATATACAAAGTTTCTTTGCTACGAATTCACGAGCAAAAGTGATGGTAGAAGCTGGTGGATGTGTGGATATAACACCCCTTTGATAAATTAATTAAAAATTTTCGTTTATCTTTAAATTCTGTCGCTACTGCAAACCGAAATTATTTGATAATATTCGTGTGATTATTTAATTCAAGTACTCTGAACATTATATTTTCTCTGACAGTAGTGCA